ATGCGAGGTTGAAACTGCAATCAATCCTGGATGAGAACAACTTTTGGGAGAGCAATGCTATGTGAAATTCAATTAAACGTCATATCTACTTATATCATTGTGGGAAAATTCTACTACCAGTCCTTCATCATCTTAACAACATAGGGTGAATACATATACAACTGATTTACTGGTAGTCTCGAAACTGTACTTATATACAAAAAACTATTTTGATTAGTTTGGCCGTCTTACCTAGCCATTTGGATTGCTAGTGTTTATTACAATTCGAATGGTTCAATAATTCATTATGATTTTTCATTTTATAAATACTAAGACGATCTGAATATATTCTAATAACACCATTTAATTATATTTACGCTTTACAAGATGATCCTTTATTTTTTCATTCTCTTCACATCTTTTACTCTACTCCAATCTACATAAGAGAAATGGTCACTTTTTTATTGGCCTTAACACATTCTTCACTCTGATTAGAGATGTGCATGTATCAATTATCCTACCATCACAACACATCTAGAGAGAAGCTTTGATTTTCATACCCTCTTGCCTGGTAACTAGCATATCCCTATAACATTTTATAGTTTAAAGTTTGGAATACATGACTGCTAGTAGTCTCTATCTTGAATATCTCATTTGAGATTTTGACATTTCCAAGTGTGTATTTCATAATAATGGAATGCTCATTCATGTTTCCACGCAAGACACGGGGGCGAGTTAGAGATTCTGGGTTCCTCGATGTCCAATCTCTTCTTAGTATTATTGCCCTCTTTTTGGCTTAAGTTGTTCTTTTATTTTATCCATAGGCTGCCTTTTCACTATCAGGCGAGATCAGGTAATTTACTCTTTTCTTCAACTTTTAGTTCTTCGATATAATGTATAATTTGCTGTATTTTCTTGTATGGCAATTCGTTAAAATTGTGCACTAATATTTATTTATGCCATCTATTTTGTCGAGCCATCTCAATACATGCCGATTCCATTACTTTAGTCTTCTTTTTCGCTTATCTTATCTATTATTTTTCTCACTGTAATATGAAGCTTATCTACTTTTAATTATAGTGATCTTTTAGCCAGGTAAATTTAAGCTATTCCTTGATGTCCCCTTCTGAAAGAATGTAAATATATGTGGGTCAAAAAGCTATTTTATCCAGTAGCCGAGTTGAGATATTCAAAATGGGTTAATCTTTTCACCAATTTATCCATTCCATATTCCTAGTTCATTACTGGTCTCATCACCTGTTTATGTTTAATTCGCGAAATCAGTTGCTATTCCTTACCATACTCGTATCATTACTTTCTTAACGTTTTATCAATTTTTTCAGTTTATGGACACAATTTTCCTTTGTAATTGATAATTTAATCGTTATTTATATTTACTTGATACGATGCTTGTTGTATTGTTTCTCTAGACAACTATTATGGCACTCCTCGACCAGATTCAAATGCGACTAGTCTTGATCATGAAATTTTATCCCAATTAATATTTACAACCAATGAAGCTGGGATCGCCTCCTTCCTAACCAATCAAGCTGATAAATCTCAGGTTTTATCTGGTGTCGTTAATACATTGAACGAAATTTTTCCAACTGCAAACCAAATGAGCTTTTTTGATCCTTCCAAAGGAGTTACTTTGCAGCCGAATACCCGAGTGGTCTGGGAACCTGGTGACGCTTCTCGATTAGATAAAGTGAGTATGTCTTAATTATAAGTATTGTTGCTTTGCCAAGGCTCTTAATTCTTATCTCTATTTAATATCGGCATTAGTTCGTTCGACCTTTCTGCAGATAAACTGCTACATTACCTTTATTTAAGACCTAAGTTCCACACCCATTACTCCTTCACTTAATGTCGAATTTCGCTCTTAATTTTTCCTAATGTGATCGTAATTAGAATAAGTATCAACACAAACGTTTTGAGTCGTCTTTTTTTTCAAGCCGCTCAACTCCTATTATTTGAGCATAGGTAGTTCTTATTTAACTTCTAACTGGTCTTCCTGACATTTGCCTAATCTGTTGAGTTATTTCGATCTTAGCTATAAACATCATATTCAGAAAACGACCAATTTGTGACCATTCTATCCTATTTACAGTTTCTGTCGCGTCTTCTATTGCCTAAGCGGAGTCGAATAATCTAGAATCCATCCTGGATGATAATAAATTTTGGTAGGCTAGGCAAAATGAAATTCAATGATACCGTGAGGCCTATTCATCATTGCGATCAATTTCATCTATTATTCCTTTATCATCTCATGATAACTATTGCTGCTATAATTTATGCAATGTCTACTGACTATCTCGAGACCAATGAATAAGAACTTAGCACGTTTTAACCTGAATCGAATGCCCTCTACTCGGGGACAGCTTCAACCAGAATGCTCCACTAAATTCAAACGACACTTGACCAAAAGGAATCTGCCATCTTCTGCTGGTGGTATTCTTCCAATCGCATCGCTACATACTATTACTCGAAATGGAATTTAAATCAACATGTTTTTTGTTACTAACTTATTGTATCTTTCTTCTTTTCCCCTATAGCATTCTTTGGAACCGCAATTTGTCTCAACTGAGCTCTCTTCCGCTCCCGAAGTTTCCCTTCCTTATGGTTGGGAAATAGTTAAGGATCCTCAATTCGGCTCTTTTTATATTGACCACATTCACAAACGCACCCAATATGAGCCTCCAACCCCTTCCGATTTTACAAACGCAGCCGGTTCAGCCTCTTCAACTTTTATTCCGCATAATAATTCTTCACACGTAAATATATTTATTTATCGTCTTAATTTAATTAATGTTTTGTTCTTTAATATTCTTTATTTTCTTCAAACTAGCCCATCTCAACCAAAAGTTGGCCTTCCTCTACTCGGATTCCCATCCTGTCAGAGTCCCAAAAGCCTTTTCTTTCAACCGTTAATCCATCACCTCTCCTATATTCTCCTATTAATTCTCCCCCTGGCACCTCGTATATTCCAAATAAGCACCGGTTACCTCCAAATGTATTCACAACAGATGTTAACCAGCTGAATGGCCCCATTGTTACAACCTCTTTTGTAAAAAGCCCTCGTGGTTTTGGATTCACAATTATTGGTGGCACCGATAAGAACAAGCCTGGATTTTTACAGGTAAGGTATTTTAACTTCCCATACCGTTTTATCTTGATATTCTTCATTATACTGGGCCTTATTCCTCGAGGATAATATCATATATCTAATTACCAAATATCGTTTGTCATTTTTTATTTTGGTATTTTTTTTAACTGCAAGATTTTTAAACTATAAAAAGTCACAATTGACCCTCATAATTTGTTTTTGAGTCCACTACATTTCTTTTTGTTATAATCTCTTCACTTTAGGTGAAAAATCTAATTCCCGGTGGTCCTGCCTTCTTAGACGGCCTCCTTTGTCCGGGAGATGTGCTTATCTCCATTGGCGACCGCTGTGTACTCGGTTATACTCATGCAGATATTGTAGCTCTTTTTCAATCTATGCCGGTCGGTACTTGCGTTTCCTTAACTGTTAGCCAAGGCTATCTGCTTCGTTTCGATGTAAATGACCCCAGCACCAAGCTTATTACTACTCTTGCTGTTCGATCGACACCTCACCAGTCTTTAGGAGGCCCTTTTTTCGCAGACTGCCTCTCAGCACCACCCATTAATGAGGTAACCACTTATTTTGATCAGCCCAAGCTTTAAATCTTAATTTTTCTTTAAATCTCTATCTTCATGACCTATTGCGCTACATTTTAACAGAATTATGCGATTGACTATAATATTATGACTGAAATTTGTAAATCCATTCTTGCTTGCATGACTTATTAGCCCGTTTTAAAGATCTAAATTATTATTGAAAATACCCTCTTATTTTGCATATAGATGCTATTGTTGACCTTTTCGATCATACATAATAAGGAACATTACCTGTTCTATCCCTGACTATAGCTTTGAGTTGCTTAAGGTACGACCTGACGTCGCTTTATTCCATGAGAGATTGGCTTGTTGGATGCTCAAACTTGGCCCATTTACTTATCTAGCTTTATCTGTTCGACGGTCGCATTTTAGTAGTCTGCTCATTCCTGCCTTGAGTCTACTTCATCGACTGACTACTTGGACACCTCTTCGGGGATTCCAGAACCCTGGTCTTCTCCCTTTCAATTATTTTGTTGTCAATAGTGAAAAATTGGCTTGCCTACCTAATGGAACTGGTGGAGGATATATACATTTTTACTAACCAGTTGTGTATTTGTTTCTCTCAGAGTATTCTAAGCCGTCCCATCAAATTAACTATTCTCCGTTCTCTTATCC